TCAGGCAACTTTCAACCAATCTTCAGATAACATTCAGACAACGTTCAAACAATCTTCGGATAACATTCAGACAACTTTCAAGCAGTTTTCAGACAGCGTTCAAGTGACAACTAAGGGCTCGTTCGTCTAGTGACAATTGTCGTCTATTCAGTGGGCAACAACCGATTCAACCTGCATCATACACTCATAAGTCAATTTTTTTTTTTTTTTTCCCCTTCAATCAGAAGATATCTTTTTGATTGAGCCCATGAGAGAAGTCAACCCCGTTTCAGTTGAGCAGTTTGTCCTCGACAGTCTCAATCAGGTAGCTTTAAAGAAAATTTTCTCATACAGTAATGCCAAGATTGATGGTTTCAAGCGCGAAGATCTGTCAAACTGTGTCGCTCTTACAAAATTTGCAGAAGGGACAGTCAAGGATCTGCGGGTATAAAGAAAGGGAATGAGACACATCCGCACTTTGACGTAGTTTGGGTGGCAACAACTAGCTACGTGCAATGGAAAGCTGAGAGACTCCTAGGGGATTCGAAGCTCGTCTACAACTTCGGCCCCAAGCTCTTTACATACTATCCCAAACCTCCGGTCCCCTATCATCTTACAGACGGCTCCAGCTGGGGTGACCTGGTGGATTTTGCAAAGAGGTACATCTCTCGTGCAAAGATCGACTACGAGGCAATGACTGAACCTTCCGAGTTCCCGCATATCAGACGGAGAATCTTCTCTCAGCCGTATTTTCCCACTCTATGGGAGGAGTTTTGTGCTATGGTTGACTTCCGCATCATGGGACTTGGATGGAAGTGCTCGGAACTAGTAGGCTTTAGGTGACTCTACATTCAGAGGTCACAGACTCAAGGAGTACGGAGACATGATAAAATACAGAAAAGACAAACAGTAAAATGAGAGACTGAATGCGAGATTCGGAGGGATGAGTGAGGACTCTTGACTGATGTTAGTCATGCTCTCTACATGTGTACTTCCTGAGACTATTATGAGTTCTCACTCTTCCCTCATTCATCTTGCTTTTGTCTTGAGTCGGTCAGTCTTGATCTTCTCGTCTGACATTGCTTGATGATTGTTTTCCTTGTTGATTATGTCACGGTTCTCAATCCCCTAAATTGACACCTTGATACACACATGGCATATTCAAGTTAATTTTCATTAATTGCATCCTCATTGGTGTTCCGAATCACAATTAAAGATTTTTAAGACCGGGGTCTGACGAAGACCGTAATTGAAGGGTCTCGCTCGAAGCCGGGCACACACAACAGGAAGGGATTTGCATTATTTAATTTATTTGATTTATTGCAATCAACACATACAAAATCCTGCATGACAACCTGTTGGCCTTCCAGTCGCCTGAAGTGGCCCGACTGGAAAATGTGCGACAGCGTATGCATCGCGTCCACCAGAGAGCCCAAAGAACTGCCTGTTTCCCAGCTCAAAGATATTTGTTGGAAAGGAGTAGACTTAGGATGTCCAGTGGCCACACAGCAGCGTGTGTTGTTCCCAATGTCACCCTGGTTTGGGTGAAGGGGCTCATTACTCATCCCTCACCTTCTCAAGATTATGTATTCAATGGGACCCTGGACCTGGTTTCCAGCAGGTGCAGCTCCCCACCAATAGATGGAGTGACAGGGACAGGTATACTAGTTGGGGGTGCTCATATCACCTCAACTAGTATTTCCTGCAGTGTCTTAATGAAAAAAAAAAAGAGAAAAAAAAAGGGTCATTTCATAGTAACTGTTAGTCCCCAACTGCCGCAAGATGTGATCCCACCACCTCCAGGTCGGAATTGCACCAGCACATTCGAGAACGATATGCTCAATAGTCTCGATGTTAACTTTGCGGGAGGGGAAGCCTTTTTCATAGGTTCTACACCATCATTGGGAGAGGAACACCTCTCTTAGTGGACTCCAGCTAAGTCCAGATACATCCAAGGGGTCCGGCGTTTTAAGCACACCGGACCCTCATGAGCTTGAAATTTCCACCTAAATCGCGCCAATTTATGAGTTTTCAATTTCGTTCAAAAAACAAACTATGTCGGTTTTGGCGAAATTGCTGTTTCTGCTCCAGGCGGTTTTGGCGAAATTGTTGTTTCTGCTCCAGGTGAGTGTGGTCGATGAGCCAGGCATTTGTTGGCAGACAGCAGCGTTGTCGAGCGGGGATCCCCGGGGGCAAAGCCGGTGTGAGGCTGCGGCCCCCGGACCCCCGCCGCGGGGGCCATCCAACCCCGCCACCGCC